TAAACCAGGATTAAAACAGGACTAAACCAGGATTAAAACAGGACTAAACCAGGATTAAAACAGGACTAAACCAGGACTGAAATAGGACTGAAACAGGATTAAAACAGGACTAAAACAGGACTAAACCAGGACTAAAACAGGACTAAACCAGGATTAAAAGAGGATTAAAACAGGACTAAACCAGGACTGAAACAGGACTGAAACAGGACTAAACCAGGATTAAAACAGGACTAAACCAGGATTAAAACAGGACTAAACCAGGATTAAAACAGGACTAAACCAGGATTAAAACAGGACTAAACCAGGATTAAAACAGGATTAAAACAGGATTAAAACAGGACTAAAACAGGACTAAAACAGGATTAAAACAGGACTAAAACAGGACTGAAATAGGACTGAAACAGGATTAAAACAGGACTAAAACAGGATTAAAACAGGACTAAACCAGGACTGAAATAGGACTGAAACAGGATTAAAACAGGACTAAAACAGGACTAAACCAGGACTAAAACAGGACTAAACCAGGACTGAAATAGGACTGAAACAGGATTAAAACAGGACTAAAACAGGATTAAAACAGGATTAAAACAGGATTAAAACAGGACTAAAACAGAACTAAACCAGGACTAAACCAGGACTGAACTAGGACTAAACCAGGACTAAATGGAGTTCAAGAACTAGCCCAGGACTAGTCTCGGTCTAAACCAGGACTAAACCAAATCAAAGAAAAACACGACATTTCTGCAAACATTTATATTTTCATGAGCTGAGTTTGAGTTTTTAAATAAGACGAGAAAAGAAAACCACATCACAAAAAAACAAAACCAGGTCTAAACCGGGTCTAAACCGGGTCTAAACCGGGTCTAAACCATGACATGACCAGAACCAAAACAGAAGTAAATAAGAGAAGACTAAACCAGGACTGAACCTGGACTAAACCAGGACTGAACCAGGACTGAACCAGGATTAAAACAGGATTAAACTAGAACTGAACCAGGATTAAAACAGGACTAAATCAGGACTAAACTAGCAGTAAATAACAGAAGACTAAACCAGGACTGAACCAGGACTAAACCAGGACTGAACCAGGACTGAACCAGGTCTAGATCAGGACTAAACCAAACTAAAGCAAAACACAAGATTTCTTCAAACATTTATCTTGTCAAATAAGATAATAAGAAATTTGTTCACACACACCACATCACAAAAAACTAAACCAGGTCTAAACCAGGTCTAAACCAGGTCTTAACCAGGTCTTAACCAGGTCTTAACCAGGTCTAAACCAGGTCTAAAACAGGACTAAAACAGGACTAAAGCAGGACTAAAACTGGAGTAAATAACAGAAGACTACACCAGGACTAAACCAGGTCTAAACCAGGACTTAACCAGAACTGAACCAGGACTAAACCAGGACTAAAACCAGGACTAAACCAGAACGAAATCAGGACTAAATCAAGACTAAACCAGGACTAAACCAGGAATGAACCAGGAGTAAAGCAGGACTAAACAGACTAAACCAGACTAGACTAAACCAGGACTAAACCAGGACTAAACCAGACTAAATCAAGACTAAACCAGGACTAAACCAGGAATGAACCAGGAGTAAAGCAGGACTAAAACTGGAGTAAATAACAGAAGACTACACCAGGACTAAACCAGGACTAAACCAGGTCTAAACCAGGTCTAAACCAGGTCTAAACCAGAACTAAACCAGGACTAAACCAGACCGATGCAAAACACGATATTTCTCCAAACATTTACATTTTCATGAGCTGAGTTTGAGTTTTTAAAGAAGTCGAGAAAAGAAAAACCACATCACAAAGAAACAAAACCGGGTCTGAACCTGGTCTAAACCTGGCCTAAACCTGGTCTAAACCGTGACATAACCTTTACGCGTATTCTCACGGGGGATTTATTCTCGAGAAGTTGCTGGTTAGATTCCCTTCTGCCCTTCTGACCACATGAACGACACAGAGCGTTTTCCCTGTCGCTGTGTCGCCGCAGCTGATCTGGGTATGACTGTCACAAGAAGAGACGAGCAGAAGTCTGAGCGCGGCGGACTTCATGACGCAGCGAAAAGAAAAGAAGAAAAACGAGCAAGAAAAAAAAAAGAAAAAAGAAAAGAGAGAAACCTGGAAGCGCGTGACGAGGACGAATCACGACGCGGTGGGTTTGAAAAAGTGGTGCTGAAGATGAGAAGTTTACACCAGAGGGATTTCGGTGTTTTTTTATTATTGGACTAAAATCAGGACTTAGACGAGATCTAAACCAGGACCGAACCAGGACTGAACCAGGATTAAACCAGGACTGAACAAGGACTAAACCAGGACCAAACCAGGACTGAACCAGGATTAAAACAGGACTAAACCAGGTCTAAACAAGGTCTAAACCAGGACCAAACCAGGACTGAAACAGGACTGAAACAGGATTGAACCAGGACTAAAACAGGACTAAACTAGGACTAAACCAGGACTAAACTAGGACTAAACCAGGACTAAACTAGGACTAAACCAGGACTGAACAAGGACTAAACCACGACTAAACCAGGACCAAACCAGGACTAAACCAGGACTAAACCAGAACTAAACTAGGAATAAACCAGGACCAAACCAGGACTAAACCAGGACTAAACTAGGACTAAACCAGGACTAAACCAGGACTGAACAAGGACTAAACCAGGACTGAACCAGGACTATAGCAGGACTAAACCAGGACTAAAACAGGACCAAACCAGGACTAAAACATGAGTAAAACAGGACCAGACCAGGATTAAACCAGGACTGAACCAGGACTAAAGCAGGACAAAAACAGGACTAAACAGGGACTAAATAACAGAAGACTAAACTAGGACTAAACCAGGACTGAACTTGGTCTAGACCAGGACTAAACCAGGAGCAAAACAGGACTAAACCAGGACTGAATCAGGTCTAAACCAGGTCTAAACCAAAACTAAAACAGGAGTAAATAACAAAGGACTAAACCAGAACTGAACCAGGATTAAACCAGTACAAAACCAGAACTAACCCAGGATTAAATCAGAACAAAATCAGGACTGAACCAGGACTAAAACAGAACTGAACCATACTGAACCTTACTTATAACGAGGTTTAGACTAGAACTAAACCAGGTCACAGCCAGGACTAAAGAAAGAGTAAGAACAGAGGTCTAAACCGGGACTAAAACCGGTCTGAATCAGGACTGAATACCACAACAAATCCATACAAAATCCTAGACCTAAACCGGAATTAGTTCAGAACTAAAGCAGGATTAGTCCAGGTTTAAACCAAAACTACTCTAGACCTAAAACCAGGTCTAAACTAGGACTTAGCAGGTCAGGTTCTTCTTGTGTCACTTTAAATTATAATTTTCATTTGAGGAATTTCAATATTTAGGACCAGGACCAAACCAGGTCTAAACCAGGTCTAAACCAGGACCAAACCAGGACTAAACCAGGACTAAACCAGGACTAAACCAGGACTAAACCAGGACCAAACCAGGACCAAACCAGGACTAAACCAGGACCAAACCAGGACCAAACCAGGACTAAACCAGGACCAAACCAGGACCAAACCAGGACCAAACCAGGACCAAACCAGGACCAAACCAGTCTGAATCAGGACTGAATACCACAACAAATCCATACAAAATGTCATGGCTCACCAAGATCTAACACCGGAATTAGTCTGGAACTAAACCAGAATTAGTTCAGGTTTAAACCAGGACTACTCTAGACCTAAACCAGGACTAGTCCAGATGTATATCAGGTCTAGACCAGGACTAAACCAAGACTTGGCTGGTCAGATTGTTACTTTAAATTACAATTTTCATTTGAGGAATTTCAATATTAAGACTAAGTCTAAACCTGGACTAAACCAGGTCTAGGTCTAAACCAGAACTAAACCAGGTCTCAAACGGGACTAAAGAAGGACTAATAACAGAGGTCTAAGCCAGGACTAAAACCAGGTCTAGATTTAAACCAGGACTAAACCAGGTCTAGATTTCATGCATGACAAATCCAGGTGTAGAGTTCAACCAGGTCTAAACCAGGACTGAATCAGGTCTAGGTCTAAACCAGGACTAAACCAGGACTAAAGCAGGTCTAGAGTTCAACCAGGACTAAACTAAGACTAAACAAGGTCTAGATTTACACCAGGACTAATCCAGGTCTAGATTTCAACCAGAAATAAACCAGGTCTAGGTCTAAACCAGGTCTAAACCAGGACTAAACAAGGTTTAAATTTCAACCAGGACTAAAGCCAGTTGTTAAAAACTTGTCACAAATTAGAATTTTCACTTGCATTTCATTTGAATATTTGGCAATAATTTGAGAACAAAACTGAAACTAATAACCCTTGACCTCTAATCTAAATTTTTATTTTATTATATTTTAATAAAACGTAAGAGTAACACAAGATAAAAAACTAAACATCAATGAATTTTCTCAGCCTATAAATACAAATTTTCACCAAATATCGATATGAAACTAAGGTACGTTTTAAAAAAAATTGCAATTATTTCAAAATAAATGAGCAATATCGTCATTATAATTAAAATTTAAACTATAATAACGCAAAAATATCACATAATATTCGTGATATACATACAACTTTACATAGCTTTAAAAAAAAATTGTAATTGTATTCATCCCAGACCACAAGATTACATAATAAATTAGCTTTTTTTCAATATTTAGTTTTGATTTCAGTTTCAGATTGTGCGTTTGTTCCATTCTAATTCGCGTTGAAATGAGTCAAAGTGATAAAACGCTTGCATGTGCGGAAATTTGCACCACAATTTTAATATTCGCTTTTTTTTTTTTTTTTTTTTTTTTATCATTTTACAACTTTGACGCATTTTCGTAGCAGTTTTTAGTCCGGTGTGCATGCTTTTCCAGTTATAAGTTGCACAATTTTCGTTTTCTAGTTCATAAAATAAAAAATAACCATACATTTTTAGGATATTTTTTAGGAATTGTGTAAAAGCAAAGTTCCAGATCTCACCTTAGTTCCAGTCATAAGCAACAGATGCAGTAGTAGTAGTTGTAGTAGCTGCAGTAGTAGTTGCAGTAGTAGTAGTAGTAGTAGTAGTAGTAGTAGTAGTAGTAGTAGTAGTAGTATAGTTATCTCCTCCACAGGCTCGTAGTCCTTTCTGTGTCAGTGCACATGCCTCTCTGACTGTGTGAATGTGGTCACGCAGAGGAAAGGTGCGGGGGCCAAACAGCTCCGCCCACATCGTATCTTGGCCCCGCCCCCTTCACACGTCTGGCCCCGCCCCCCTCCCAGGCTCCTCCCACTCATGTGTGAGGAGGCGTCAGTGTGAGTGTGTGTTTCGAAGTGTGGAAGTGGGTTTAGTCAGAGCTGTTGTTGTCGAGGCAGAAGAGCAAAGAAACTGCGCTCGAGCAAGAGGAACGTTACTTCAGAATGATGTTACTCAAGTAGAAGAACAAAGGCGCTGTCACAAGATATTATTATTAAGTAAAAAAGTATTTAAGATAAGATATAAGATAAGATATGCCTTTATTAGTCCCACAGTGGGGAAATTCCAGTGTTGCAACGCACAATTTCAGAACAGCAGGAAAAGGTAACACAGATAATAAATAATAGCTTAAAAATAATAAAAAAAATAGACTTAAAAATAATTGCACATGGATATAATTGACTGGCACATGTTCAGTGTGAACAGTGTTTGTTGTAAAGTCTGACAGCAGCAGGAAGGAAAGACCTGTGAAACTTCTCCTTCACACAGCGAGTGTGAATCAGTCTGTCACTGAAGCTGCTCCAGAGCAGACAGAGCGTCCTGCAGGGGACAGAGCGTCCTGCGGGGGACAGAGCGTCCTGCGGGGGACAGAGCGTCCTGCGGGGGACAGAGGGGGACAGAGCCTCCTGCGGGGACAGCGTCCTGCGGGGGACAGAGCGTCCTGCGGGGGACAGAGCGTCTGCGGGGGACAGAGCGTCCTGCGGGGGACAGAGCTCCTGCGGGGGACAGAGCGTCCTGCGGGGACAGAGCTCCTGGGACAGAGCGTCCTGCGCTCCTGCGGGGACAGAGCCGTCCTGCGGGGACAGAGCGTCCTGCGGGGACAGAGCGTCCTGCGGGGGACAGAGCGTCCTGCGGGGGACAGAGCCTCCTGCCGGGGACAGGCGTCCTGCGGGGACAGAGCGTCCTGCGGGGGACAGAGCGTCCTGCGGGGGACAGAGCGTCCTGCGGGGGACAGAGCGGGGGACAGAGCGTCCTGGGACAGCGTCCTGGGGGACAGCTGCAGGGGAGCGTCCTGCGGGGAGAGCCTCCTGCGGGCGTCCTGCGGGGACAGAGCGTCCTGCGGGGACAGAGCGTCCTGCGGGGAGAGCGTCCTGCGGGGGACAGGGCGTCCTGCGGGACAGAGCGTCCTGCGGGGGACAGAGCGTCCTGCGGGGACAGAGCGTCCTGCGGGGGACAGAGCGTCCTGCGGGGGACAGAGCCTCCTGCGGGGGACAGAGCGTCCTGCGGGGGACAGAGCGTCCTGCGGGGGACAGAGCGTCCTGCGGGGGACAGAGCGTCCTGCGGGGGACAGGCGTCCTGCGGGGACAGAAGCCTCCTGCGGGACAGGCGTCCTGCGGCGGGGACAGAGCGTCCTGCGGGGGACAGAGCGTCCTGCGGGGACAGAGCCTCCTGCGGGGACAGCGTCTGCGGGACAGGCGTTCCTGCGGGGGACAGGCGTCTGCGGGGGAGCGTCCTGCGGGACAGAGCGTCCTGCGGGGGACAGAGCGTCCTGCGGGGGACAGAGCCTCCTGCAGGGGCTGAGACTCATGGCCCAGCATAGAGACGATCTTAACCAAGACCCTCCTGTCCCCCACCTCCTGCACTGAGTCCAGACAACAGCCCAGGACAGAGCTGGACTTCTTGATGACCTTGTCCCTCTCTGTGATGCTGCTGCTCCAGCAGACCACAATTTGGAAATTATGTTCAATAAACACCAGGCTCCATCTTATACAGTAGGTTGCCCAACTTTTGAAACATTTTTGAAGATCAATCTGTATTTATTTTTTACACTTGTCAAGGTAAAATTCCATGTGAAATTTCATAAAATTCTCTTGATGTTTACTGGGTCCAACAAGCCTCTGAAGTTTAGTGCAGAAGCTTTAAATCTGAGCAGAAAAATGTGTTAATGTAATAACATAAAAATAATTAATTAATAAATCCCAATAGTATCAATGGAAGTTGAATATAAATATGGACATTGTGGATCATTTAGTAACAGTTTTATGTCTCGATCATCATTAGTTTTTGAGATATGACAAAAGTGTCATTTCTTTGGGACTTCAAGGACCTTAAATAAGCAATATTATTTTAAAAAATCTATATTTTTAATGTTATTTGAGAAAAACTGATTTTTCTGCCAGACCCTTATAGACATCGTTAAGAGTCTTGGTGGACCCAGTAGATTTTATTCAATTGAGCAAATATTCCACAGATTTTCTTTTATTTGGTATTGTCACATTTTAAAATTAGGTTAAGTTGAATTTCTGACATTGGGGCAAATTATACAAAAAAAAGTTTAAAGTTTTCCACTGTTTGCATTATTCTAAAACTAAACTGAGCTAAAACTAAACTTCCTGAGCACTGGTTGAGTTGTGATTGTAGTACTTTTTTTTCTTTTAAAACAGTCAGAATCCAGGCTACAAAAAGTTTGTTTTTCTAATCCTGACCTGGTTTCGTGGACACTACCTCAGGTCAATATTTATCATAGTTTCACGTCGGTTAAGTGGCAGTTTGTGAAGAAAAGCGCAAAAATATAGGATGTAACGCCGCGTTGTAAAACAGAATCCCAGTTCCAAAACACAGAGACGAGGAAGGAGAGAATTTTCTGAATGTTGAAACCTTAAAACCTTAAAAAAATAAAGGTGTTGTCAATCAAATAATATGACACATGCTGCACATTTCACAACGGCTCGAGTGTGAACGTGCAGCCTGGAGCGGAGACACAGGACAGAGGACAGAGGACAGAGGAGACGAGAGAGGAGACGAGAAAGGAGACAAGAGAGGAGACGAGAAAGGAGATGAGACGAGAAAGGAGACAAGAGAGGAGACGAGAAAGGAGACAAGAGAGGAGACGAGAAAGGAGACGAGAAAGGAGACCAGAGAGGAGATGAGAAAGGAGACGAGAAAGGAGACGAGAGAGGAGATGAGAAAGGAGACAAGAGAGGAGACGAGAAAGGAGACAAGAGTGGAGATGAGAAAGGAGACGAGAGAGGAGATGAGAGAGGAGACGAGAAAGGAGACGAGAAAGGAGACGAGAGAGGAGACGAGAAAGGAGACAAGAGAGGAGATGAGAGAGGAGACAAGAGAGGAGACGAGAAAGGAGACGAGAAAGGAGACAAGAGAGGAGACGAGAGAGAAAACGAGAAAGGAGACAAGAGAGGAGATGAGAAAGGAGACGAGAAAGGAGACGAGAAAGGAGACAAGAGAAGAGACAAGAAAGGAGACAAGAGAGGAGATGAGAGAGGAGACAAGAGAGGAGACGAGAAAGGAGACGAGAAAGGAGACAAGAGAGGAGACGAGAGAGAAAACGAGAAAGGAGACAAGAGAGGAGATGAGAAAGGAGACGAGAAAGGAGACGAGAAAGGAGACGAGAGAGGAGACAAGAGAGGAGACGAGAAAGGAGACAAGAGAGGAGACGAGAAAGGAGACAAGAGAGGAAATGAGAGAGGAGACAAGAGAGGAGACGAGAAAGGAGACAAGAGAGGAGACGAGAAAGAAGACAAGAGAGGAGACGAGAAAGGAGACAAGAAAGGAGACGAGAGGAGATGAGAAAGGAGACAAGAGAGGAGACGAGAAAGGAGACAAGAAAGGAGACAAGAAAGGAGACGAGAGGAGAGGAGAAAGGAGACAAGAAAGGAGACGAAAGGAGACGAGAGGAGATGAGAAAGGAGACGAGAAAGGAGACAAGAGAGGAGATGAGAAAGGAGACGAGAAAGGAGACAAGAGAGGAGATGAGAGAGGAGACAAGAGAGGAGACGAGAAAGGAGACAAGAGAGGAGATGAGAGAGGAGACAAGAGAGGAGATGAGAAAGGAGACAAGAGAGGAGATGAGAAAGGAGACGAGAAAGGAGACGAGAGAGGAGATGAGAAAGGAGACAAGAGAGGAGATGAGAAAGGAGACAAGAGAGGAGACGAGAAAGGAGACAAGAGAGGAGACAAGAGAGGAGACGAGAAAGGAGACGAGAGAGGAGACGAGAAAGGAGACAAGAGAGGAGATGAGAAAGGAGACAAGAGAGGAGACGAGAAAGGAGACAAGAGAGGAGACGAGAAAGGAGACAAGAGAGGAGACGAGAAAGGAGACAAGAGAGGAGACGAGAAAGGAGACAAGAGAGGAGATGAGAGAGGAGACAAGAGAGGAGATGAGAAAAGGAGACAAGAGAGGAGATGAGAAAGGAGACGAGAAAGAAGACAAGAGAGTAGACGAGAAAGGAGACAAGAAAGGAGACGAGAAAGGAGAGGAGAAAGGAGACAAGAGAGGAGACGAAAGGAGACGAGAGGAGATGAAAGAGGAGACGAGAAAGGAGACAAGAGAGGAGACGAGAAAGGAGACGAGAGAGGAGACGAGAAAGGAGACAAGAGAGGAGATGAGAAAGGAGACAAGAGAGGAGACGAGAAAGGAGACAAGAGAGGAGACGAGAAAGGAGACAAGAGAGGAGACGAGAAAGGAGACAAGAGAGGAGACGAGAAAGGAGACAAGAGAGGAGATGAGAGAGGAGACAAGAGAGGAGATGAGAAAGGAGACAAGAGAGGAGATGAGAAAGGAGACGAGAAAGAAGACAAGAGAGTAGACGAGAAAGGAGACAAGAAAGGAGACGAGAAAGGAGAGGAGAAAGGAGACAAGAGAGGAGACGAAAGGAGACGAGAGGAGATGAAAGAGGAGACGAGAAAGGAGACAAGAGAGGAGACGAGAGAGAAAACGAGAAAGGAGACAAGAGAGGAGACGAGAAAGGATATGAGGAGATACGAGACCAAAGAATAGGACGTAGGAGAGAAAGAGACAACAGTAAAAAAAAAAAAAAAAAAAAAAACAGGAGGTGTGAGTGAAGGAGGTAGAATTAGGAGGTAGGAGACAGGAGGGCGAGGACGCGAGGAGGCAGGAGACGAGCAGACAGCGTGCGGCGTGCAGCTGACAGGGGACATGACATC